CTTCACGACTGTCTTGGTGTGTTTGGACCATGATAGTTTGTTGGTGATGTGGACACCAAGTAACTTGAAGCTCTCAACCTGTTCCACTACAGCACTGTCGATGAGAATGGGGGCGTGCTCAGTCATGGGTGAACAGGGAGTACAGAAGGGGAATGAGCACGCACCCCTGAGGGGCCCCCGTGTTGAGGATCAGTGTGGCAGATGTGTTGTTACCTACCCTTACCACCTGGGGGCAGCCCGTCAGGAAGTCCAGGATCCAGTTGCAGAGGGAGGTGTTTAGTCCCAGGATCCTTAGCTTAGTGATGAGCTTTGAGGGCACTATGGTGTTGAACGCTGAGCTGTAGTCAATGAATAGCATTCTCACGTAGGTGTTCCTCTTGTCTGATGGCATATTGAAGGGAATCTGATCTGATTAGGGGGTCAGAGAGAGGAGGGGGCGCTGAGGTCCCTCATTCCCCACTCCAGACTCTGTACCCCCTCTCTGTACCCCAATTCCTTCAAATCCTGTTTAGAGGGCTCACAAGAGAACCAGAACACACACGAACACACAAGAAAATGCTAACAGCTGAGAACTGTTAGCTAACTCTCTAGCACAGCAAGTCAACGACTTTGGGAGGGCAAGCTTGCCAAATAGACCCCTGGAAATTGGCCGACTACTAATTATTCTCCTGAAGATGTTTTGTTGTTGTTGACGAAATAGAGGCATACTAAGACAAAAGAAACGTGACACATTGTGTATATGATAACAAATTAGTGCAGGAAATTAAGAAATTGACAAATGCTGGAAGTGAATGCTGGAATTGAAGAAATAACTATGCAAATGGCAACCATTGGTTGAGTACCAGAGTTTGAGGCTACAAAATATCGTTTTGATTTGGCCATATCGCCCAGCCACACACACACTCACACAGCCAGGCATCCCCAGTTGAGTCAGCTATGTGTCTGTCTGTCAGATGTGAGAACAGATGTGTGATGTGATGATGAATGAGATCAGACAGAATCCTATTTGGCCTTTAGAGACAGAGGAGAGGAGGGACTAGACCGATTCAGCCTGTGATTGGTTGGGCTGTTACTCTGGGCGAATCCTATCCAGGCTGTGATTGGCTTGTCGTGGCCTGTCTAGACTGTGATTGGCTGGGCGTGGCCTATCCAGGCTATGATTGGCTAGGCGTGGCCCAGTGTCTTATAAAGTGGATTAGAGCCATGGTTATGGATGACCCTCCCTCTATAATCAGATTAAATTAGACTAGATTAGATTAGCAATGGATACAGGATTAACAGCTAATTAGGGGATATAACAGCAGTGACTCCCCTATATTCTATCAGCTAGGTTTGGGGAAAACCTCACCCACTGTTTCACCCATACTATCGGTGCTTAGATTTGATGGATGGGATACACAAACAGTTGAGTGGTATACACACACACAAACACACACACACATCTAGGGCCCTATAAAATCTCCGATGCTGAGAACATTAAAGATGCACTATGCAGAAATCACTCCACCATTTCCTGGTTGCTAAAATTCTAATAATTCACCTAATTTCAGTTTATGTGACAAAACAAGCAGGTGTAGTGTAGAAAATCATTGCACCATCTAAACCCCTGTGAAATATATTTTCCATGACCAAAAATAAGTTGGTGTACAAAACATTAAGTAAAAGAGCAAACACGAAACGTAAGAATGGGAAGCATAGAAATAGTACACATAGAACAGATCTACCGCTTCTTAGACTTGCTTTCAATGAGAATGACATATCTATAACGCACATTTCTATGTGAAATTGGTCGGGTCACCCAAACAGTTACATATTGTAGTTTTAAAGGGAAGATTGCAGAATTAGGTTGCTTTTAAACATTCTGATTGGTTCCATCCTTCCAACTAAAGTCCCAATACAACATATCACTTTACATTTGTATTTTGGATGAAATTTATTTTTATCTGAATTTGACCGAACTCATGTCGGAAAAGCTTTCGGAAAAGTGACGTCAAGAGAACAACACACGAGTGAATACAACAAAGGAGTGAAGCCACTGTCCACATAAGACAGGAAAGACCAACATCATCCCAAGTCGTCATTTAAAAATATATATATATTTTGGCACTCTGAATAAAGCCAACTTATCATCTGACCATATCGTGTAATTTCTTTATTCCTTATCAGCATATTTTTTTTTTTTGGTACTGTTACACAAAATCAAGATAAACCTTTACAATCATAGTAGACATTGAACGTCTATAACCAAACTGGCTAAAACAGTTTTTGGCCACATGCTAAACCTGAGTGCTAACGTTACTAATGTTACAAGCAGCAGTAACAGTAAATCCAGGTACAATGGCTAACACAAACATTGGTTACCATGATATCCTGCAAGTTATATAGGCCAATAAAGATCAGGCAGTTCAGCAAAAATAAAGACATACCTTGAAATAAACAATTACATTAATCCGATTGGTATTTGACCATTCATTTCTACAAAACGTGCAGTGTTGATGGAGTTGTTGTAGCTTGCTTACTCCATCCCCGAACACCATGCTAAATCAGAGTGGGTCAGTTCGTTTTTTGTGGCCCAGTGCACTTAGATAGCTTTCTATCTCCGTTTTATATACTCTACTAGCAACATAACATGACAAAACTCTTTGGGCACTTCAGTACCTACTTACCATTCTCCTAAGAAGGGTGTAATTGCAGACTGCGACTAGAGTCGTTTTCTGATATAAGCATTTCTTGATATCAAGTTACACCCATGGCCATTTCTTTCGTGTCGGGACAACAGTTGTTTACAACTGTAGCATTATAGCTAACCCTAACCCTATTCCTAACCTTAACCTCAGTCTCCTAACCTGCCATGCTAATTCACCTAACCTGCCACGTTAATCATCCTAACCTGCTATAAAAACAAATTATCTTTGTCTTCTTGGGAATTTCCAGCAGAGTAGACGCTTTTTGGCATATTGCTGCCTTTCTCAGTTCAGAATGTAAATGCCACATTGTAAAATAAAATATATAATAATAATATGTAAAAGGGGAATGGAAAAAAACGTATATTGCACCACCATCTAACCCTGCACCTATACACTATCCCCCAAAACTCATCACCCCATCCCACTACTTGGCCCTAAACGATCCTTCACCAGAACGTCGGCCTGGGAGGATGGAACCCCTTCTCTCAAAACTTCCTGATCTTCTGTACTAAAATCTCTCACACCCAAATATTTCTCTGCTGCTGCAACTACCACATCTATCTTCTGTGATTTCCACTCCTTCAGTGCAGTGCAGTTGATCACTGTGACTATAAACGCAAGAAATCCAACCTTATTAAAACTCATCCTCTCTGACGGTCTGCAATACACCATATTCATTCGCCTCCATCACCGAAGCCACCAGCAGGCTGTTCCTTTCTTGGCGTTAAAGCCGCAATGTATTGTTGGTACATGCGTTTTTGATAAATGTAATTCAAATTGCGAAAATATAAGTTTATAATGAGATTTTTTTTTTTTAACTTGTATAAAGACCTTTCAAATGGAATATAATCAATCTACTGTACGTTGTTAGATTTGTGGAATATATATCGTACAACCTTTCCTTTAAAACGTAATTCAACAATATTCAAAAATGTATTGAACTTATTAGTAGGGAATCAACTAAATGTATTGAAAATTCATTAATAAGTTTATCATAAGCCATGAACAGAATGCATCAGTGATTCGTATTTCCTGCAACTTTCTGAAGAGGCAAGGAGAATGTCCCTGTCTGTGTGTGTGCGATGTGTCTACCACTTTGTGCAGCCAGTAGCGATAATGCTTTGCATTATTGTGGACATTGAACATCCAATTTAGTTGTTCTTCTATTGAAAAAGTTGGATTTATGAGCGAAAAACAGAAGAAACAGGAAAACGGAAACAGACAAATCAAAACGGACAAAATGGAATCAGGCAAAAAAATACAACTGAGGGGGGGTCCTAGTATAGTTCCCTATACTTACCTGTCTGTCTTTCTGCCCTCTCTTTGTCCACAAACCCCTTTACCGCTATTCTTTCTAACTCTCTCTCCTCCTCCTTTCTCTCGCTCCCTCTCTCTCCCTCTCTCTCTCTCTCTCTCTCTCTCTCTCTCTCTCTCTCTCTCTCTCTCTCTCTCTCTCTCTCTCTCTCTCTCTCTCTCTCTCTCTCTCTCTCTGTGTGCATTTCTACTGTATTCCTGCTGCATTCCACTGACTCTCTCCATCTGTCAGGGATCAGCCCGGTTATCAAAGGTGTGAGTGTGCGTGTGTGTGTGTGTGTATGTGTGGGTATGTGTATGTGTGTGTGAGTAATCTCAGAGCTCTCCCTCTTAGTAATGGCTTCCCTGTGGGAGTCAATGTGACAGCTGCAGTAAAAATTCTGGTCCTACTGCTGGGAATGGCTATGATGCTAACCTGCAGCCCTTCGCAGACCAGGCTCAGTAGGCTGCAATGAACTACACTGCTGGGAATAGGAGGATAATGCTACCATGCTAACCAGCAATATATTATTTAGTAATAGCAGTTCACCAATCCCATTTCAAATACTTTCTTTCTACTTGCTCCTCCTGATATAAGTGTATTCACAACTGTCCCAAACAATAACATTTATCAGGAGTTGACTATAGTATATTTAGCACATATTACTCTATGTCCAATTCCTAGCCAAGGTTGTATTGTATGTAACTGTACTGTGTTTGCTGAGTGCACGTGTCCAACAGGCTGTGATGTGTGGCTCATACAGTATAACACAGAGGAGTGGTACTGCTGTTGTGATGAGAGCTGGATATAATGGAGCAGCCATCTGATGTCACACACACCTGTACTCAGAGGCTCTGTGGCCGGGATGGGGAGGGGCTGTGTCTGTGTGTGTGTGTGTGTGTGTGTGTGTGTGTGTGTGTGTGTGTGTGTGTGTGTGTGTGTGTGTGTGTGTGTGTGTGTGTGTGTGTGGATGGATGGGGTATTTAATGATGAGGAGGGCTGTAGAGGGCCTCAGAGTGATGTCTCCATCATCCATTATACTCCTCCAGCTACAGCAGCATGGGACCCTGGGTAGGCAGTAGGCAGTCTAATGATGGAGGGTCAGCCCTCTCATAGCTTTACAAATTCATAACATTATACTATGTCTGACAGAGACTGAGAGAGGGAGAGGGGGGTGGGGGGGTGAAAGGACAAGAGAGGGAGAGAGAGAAGGTGTGAGAGAGAAGGTTTGTGTCTTTGTATTTGAGAAATACACACACACCCAGACACCGTGAGCAGCCCTTGGCAGTGCCCAGCCCAGGTCCATTAGCAGGTTGTCTGTGTGTTATGTGGTGTGGCCTGGATAATGCAGGTTGTTGTCACATCTGACCCATGCAGCTGGCCTCCACAGGAGAGGAGAGGAAGAGGCAGACTCACAGCTGCAGAGAAGCTCAAATGCTGAAGCCAACGTCATGTCTGCAAAGAGGCTCATATAAGCTTTACACCATATAATTAGGAATTGGAAGAGTAATTTAATAGGATCTCTATGCTTTACACTGTCTGTAACACCTCCTGGGCCTATATCATGTCATGATGCCATAGTACAGTAGTATTCATCTCTTGTCTATTATTTGCTGTACTGTAACATTGTACCCTCGTTGTCAGGTCGTGTTATCAGTAACTTTCCTGGTTATCATTTCTATCCACATCCTGTTTTTATAATCTCAAATCTTCTTCTGACCTCGATCATGACTCATGACCTACCAGGTGCTCTGAACCACATGGCTTGGATCTAAAGGACAGCTGCCCTGCCTCGCTTTTAGTGCTCCACATCACCATGGCAACACCTCCACTAACCCCCCCCCCCTGTTCCCCTCTGCAGGTTGGAATGGGTGGAGATCATAGAGCCGCGCACGCGGGAACGCATGTATGCCAACCTCCTCACCGGAGAGTGTGTGTGGGACCCCCCGCAGGGGGTACGTATTAAGAGGACGGGGGACAACCAGTGGTGGGAGCTGTTCGACCCCAACACCTCCCGCTTCTACTACTACAACGCTTCCACGCAACGCACTGTCTGGCACCGCCCACAGGCCTGTGACATCATCCCACTCGCCAAGTTACAGACGCTGAAGCAGCACACGGATGTGCCCTGCCCGGGAGGGGGAGGAACAGGAGGAGACAGAGGGGGGAGGACGTCAGCTGATAACAGCCCGGGGAGAAGCAGTGCGGTCAGTAGAGAGGGGAGCACCTCGTCTTCACTGGACCAGGAACTGACCGCATCGGAGAAACAGGGGAACAGAGAGGAGGCAGACAGGTAACTGTACACACTACACTACACTGACCACAACCCTAACCCTAACACTACCACAACACTAACCCTAAACATGAACACTGGACCAGGAACTGACCGCGTCGGAGAAACAGGGGAACAGAGAGGAGGCAGACAGGTAACTGTACACACTACACTACACTGACCACAACCCTAACCCTAACACTACCACAACACTAACCCTAAACATGAACACTGGACCAGGAACTGACCGCGTCGGAGAAACAGGAGAAAAGGGGAGGCAGACAGGTTACTACATACACTACACTTCCCCTGACCATGACCCGACCACAATCCTAACTCTTAACTCGACCACAGGGAGGCGGTAGACAGGTATCTAAGTCTTATACAGAACCATGACCACAACCACAAATCCTGTAGGTTCTCTGACTCTCTTTTCCCATCTCTCTCTCTCTGTTTCTCTCTCGCTCCCTCTCTATCTCCCTCCATCTCCCTCTCTCTCCTCCTCTCTCTCTTCCTCCCTCTCTATCTCTCTCTCTCTCCTCCTCTCTCCCCCCTCCCTCCCCCCTCCCTCCCGCAATCTCGCCCTCCATCTCTCCCACTCTCTCTGTCTCTCCCCCTCCCTCTCTCTCCCTCTCCCTCTCTCTCCATCATTCTCTCTCTCTCTCTAACGAGTCTGTCTTTTGCTCATTAGCTGTAATCTGCTGCAGTCTTCTGTGATTGGTGGAATTGCTTGGCCAGGGTCACAGTGTCCTGTAAATGTGTTCTCTGCTCCTGTCCCTGCCAGAGCTGACAATCCAGCTCTCCTCTCTCACACATACACACACACACACACACACTCTCACACACATATTTTCAGTCAGTATGTCCGCTCAGAGAGGTAGTGTTCAGTGGTATTGGGTGGTTTTCAGAGTTCATTAATAATGTTAGTGATGTTGGGCCTCTGTAGCTCATGTTAGTGATGTGGTCCTCTGTAACTCAATTGGTAGAGTATGGCGCTTGTAACGCCAGGGTTGTGGGTTCGATCCCCGGGACCACCCATACGTTAAAAAAATGTATGCACACATGACTGTAAGTCGCTTTGGATAAAAGCGTCTGCTAAATGGCATATTATTATTATTTATTATTTGGGCAGTGTGTGGTTCAGTACTAGTTGTGCTCTAGGGTTTTTGTGATTCCAGGACATTAAAGAAATGACTGGTTTGCAGTGTTTTCCGTAACTACATGGAGTAGCCATGGGAGTAGCCTAGATAAAGTAGCCAGCCAGGGAGTTCCTGGCTGGGGGGGGTCAATGGGGGCAGGCTCCGAAAAAATTGCAGAACAAGCTCTATTTTGGTGGCCTCTGGTACATTCTAATGCTTTGATTCCATCCAAAATACACAGCTACATTATTGAATAATTGAACGACTTTACCTCCCAGATTTGGTCAAATTAGTTGTGGGATTGAGTAGATTGAGTGGATAAGAGCATCTGCTAAATGACTAAAATGTAATATTTGCAGTTTTCCCGCAAGATATGAATGCCCACAATGATGTTTGTTCTTCAAATTATGTATTTTGTTGGCTATGCTGCTGTGGACACTTGGGGTAAGGAAACCAAAGTTTAATTTTGTAATTTGGGTGAACTATCCCTTTAACAGTTTGGCCTGTCAATCAATCACTGTGGTTGGGATCGTCAGGGGAGGGGGCAGGATGTTTCTGAGTTACAGAGTTGGTATGGTTTCAGACCTGTCAATCAATCACTGTGTGTGGAACTTTGAGGGAAGTCGGAAGAATAGTAATCTAGTCAGAAAAACTAGTATAGTGTACACTTTTAATAAAATATATTGTGGCAAAATATTGTGTTCTGTCAAGTAAACATGGATTCCCTGTTGAGAAACAATATAGAATTGCAGGAAAATTGTTTTAAAATGCAAAGACTTTCATGGGGAGGACCCCCAAACCCCCGCCAGATTGGGCACCCCCACTTTTATACAAAGTCAGGCTCCCATGAATAGACCTACAGGTATGATTGAATAATGAAACAGGTTTTAAACATGGGCTTTGCTACACAGAAGCAGCAGTTGACTACTCCATTGTCGACACTTTAATCAAATCAGTAGGCCTATATCAATATCTTTAATAATACCATATAAGTAGTGGTCCTCTGTAGCTCAGCTGGTAGAGCACGGCGCTTGTAACGCCAAGGTAGTGGGTTCGATCCCCAGACCACCCATACACAAAAATGTATGCACGCATGACTGTAAGTCGCTTTGGATAAAAGCGTCTGCTAAATGGCATAATATTATTAAGTATCATGACTAGTATCATGGTTAGCTTTTATAACCATGGACAAATAATTATGTTGTATGTTTTATGAATAGCAACGGGATATAGGAGATGGACTTTATTCAGTACATTCAACACCTTTTATAAACTAGTCAACACTTGCTGTTTGGTCATCAATCAAAGCACAGTAACTAGCCTATGCACCCCAACTCCGTGGCCTATTAAACACAGAAAAGAAGATAACATCTTCAAAGTGCACATTGGAATTCGGTAAGAAGGATGCACGCCGTTGCATCCTCGAGTTGCATGTTCTGTTAAGACGAATAGCCATAATCTAAATGGGATTTCTGTTATTCTGAGCACTGTGGGTGGATGCCCTAATCAGGTTACGCACCCAATGCATATGGGTCCGGTCATTTTCTGAAATGTCCGTTAAATAAAAATGCTGCCGGTCAAATGTCCGCCGCCACATTTTCCTAACGGAAATCCTGGTGTGTGTGTGTGTGTGTGTACCAATGCATTGCCGTCATCCTAAATATAAAGCATTCTCTTTATTGAACCACACAGAAGGGGGTTGGCATCATCCTCCTCCATCCCCTCTCAGAAATCACCCAATGACCTCTGGATGTTAGTACATTTGTCTGTAAGACTGTCTATGCAAAAACTGTTATAGTGTCACCATTAGGGAGTTAGGGACAGACAAAGGAGGTTGGGAACTGAGTGGCAGAGAGGAGTTTTTCTGCAGTGCTGTGGAGTTGAAATTCAGCAGAGTTGAGTTGAGTCTAACTACCTGAAGGTCCAGCATATTGATGAACAGATCCATAATGCATTGTATACACTAAGCCTATGTGTGTGTGTGTGTGTGTGTGTGTGTGTGTGTGTGTGTGTGTGTGTGTGTGTGTGTGTGTGTGTGTGCGCGCATGTGTCAGATCCATAATGTATGTGGGGGAGGCCAGATCTCACAGCCATCTGGAGTTGAGCTTCAGAACCAGAGAAGTGACAGACTGCAGCTGTCAGCTCAACCTACCTGCCCTCACCTGAACACACACATACACATCACACACTCTCTTCTCCGACTCCTGCTGGGTTTGTGCTCATACAGTATATGTGTCTAATGTCCATCAAAGGATGCTGGCGCTCCAAATTCCCCTTTGATTTGACATCATTGTAAGAGTTGGTTGGTGACAGGTTGGTTGATCACATTGATTGAGTTAATTAAATGGTTGCAGTGGCTAAAGCCACGCGTAGTCAATACACCTGGTGTTCAACCTTCCTAAGTTCTCCCATGTCACCCCACTCCTCCGCACACTCCACATCATCTTCAAGACCCTGGTGCTTGCCTACGGAGCAGCAAGGGGAACTGCCCCTCCTTACCCTCAGGCTATGCTCAAATCCTATATCCCAACCCGAGCATTCCATTCCGCCACCTCTGGTCTCTTGGCCCACCCACCCCTACGGGAGGGCAGCTCCCACTCAGCCCAGTCCAAGCTCTTCTCTGTCCTGGCACCCCAATGGGAGGGCAGCTCCCACAGCCCAGTCCAAGCTCTTCTCTGTCCTGGCACCCCAATGGGAGGGCAGCTCCCACAGCCCAGTCCAAGCTCTTCTCTGTCCTGGCACCCCAATGGGAGGGCAGCTCCCACAGCCCAGTCCAAGCTCTTCTCTGCCCTGGCACCCCAATGGGAGGGCAGCTCCCACAGCCCAGTCCAAGCTCTTCTCTGTCCTGGCACCCCAATGGGAGGGCAGCTCCCACAGCCCAGTCCAAGCTCTTCTCTGTCCTGGCTCCCCTACGGGAGGGCAGCTCCCACTCAGCCCAGTCCAAGCTCTTCTCTGTCCTGGCACCCCAATGGGAGGGCAGCTCCCACTCAGCCCAGTCCAAGCTCTTCTCTGTCCTGGCTCCCCAATGGTGGAACCAGCTTCCCCCTAAAGTCAGGACAGCGGAGTCCCTGCCCATCTTTAAAAACATCTGAAACACTACCTCTTTGAAGAGTAACTTAAATAACTCTCACAGCACCCCCCCCCCAGTGTGGAGGGAGAGATTCAGAGTGGAAGATAATTCATTGATATAGCACTTTTCTACCAACTGAGGGACTGAAAGCACTTTACAAAGTAGGGGGAAACTCACCTCATCAACCACCAATGTGTGGCACCCACCTGGGTGATGCACGGCAACCATTTTTGTGCCAGAATGCTCACCACACATCAGCTATAGCAGTGAGATATGCCAATTAGGAATGAGGGGGATGATTAGGTGGTCATGATGGAATGGGGCCAGGTTGGGAATTTAGCCATGACACCGAGGTTACAATAAGTGCCAATGGGATGTCTTATGACCACAGAGAGTCAGGCCATCTGTTTTACATCCCACCCTACGCAGGGCAATGTCCCGTTCACTGCTCTGGGGCATTGGGATTGCCTTAGACCAGAGGGAAGAGTGCCTCCTACTGGCCCTCCAACACCACTTCCAGCAGCATCTGGTCTCCCATCCAGGGACCAACCAGGACCAACCAGGACCAACCAGGACCAACCCTGCCTAGCTTTAGAGACAAGGCAGCAGTGGAATGCAGGGTGTACATTTATTTGAAGGTCAAATGGATATGAATCATTTATGGCTAGGGAAAGGAGGATCAATGTTCACTTTGTACTGAGTTTTTAGGGAGAGAGAGAGAGAGAGGTAGAGATTTAAAGAGCTGGATGGAAGGAGAGAAGACAGGCAAGGGAGTGACAGAGAGGCCAGGAGGGAGAACAAGATATGTTAGAGGAGATGTGGAGAGAGGGAGCGAGGGGAAAAAGAAGAGGAGAGGTGGTTTTGTATCTAATGGCTCCCTAGCACAGTGTGGTCTAACCCAACATACACAACCCTGTAATCCTTCCTCCTACCCCCTCAACACACACACACACGCTCATTGGCCACCCCAGTAACTATGGAAGCTGAGGGTGGCCAGTGCTACAATCGATTTCACACCTCTTTCTCTCTCTCTTTCTCTGCCTTTCTCCTTCCCTCGCTCCATCTCTATCTCTCTCCCCCTCTCTCCTAAAACTCATCATTTATATTTCTCTCACAGTTTCTCTCTGTTGTTGGGTGTTTATTGAAAAACATTCAGTATTGTGATACACAGTTAATATATTGCATTAAAACAATCCCATAAGAATACAACAATACTTTATGAGAATGCCATGATTAGGTTTAGGTGTAGCTTTCCTGCCAGGGTCCAGTTGTACCTGTCTCCTGAGCAGCAGGTCCGGACATTGCTGTGATGTCTGCTGTGTGACTGACAGCAGCACCAGGTCAACTGTGTAGAACAGTGGCTTCACACCCTGATCCCATATCTGTTTGTGCTGACTTGCCAACTCCTATGGTCATTGTCACACCACAGGAGTTGGGACCAGGCTAGGGGTTTCACTCCTGTCTCTGACTGTTCAGTTTTGTTCCAACCACTAACTAATCTATGGGAAAGTTGAAATGCTATGCTGTGTTGCACTGCATCATTGTGTGTGTCTGTGTTCAAACTTTGTCGGGATTTACTTTGCACACCACACATCAGTAACTGAACAGAATCACACCTGACAGCTCCTTTGTCCCCTGTGCCAAATATAATAATTAACTCTCTCTCTCTCTCTCTCTCTCTCTCTCTCTCTCTCTCTCTCTCTCTCTCTCTCTCTCTCTCTCTCTCTCTCTCTCTCTCTCTCACTCTACCTTTCTCTGCCCCCCCCTCCACCTCAGGACCTCTCCATTCAGATGGAACACAGGTACCAAGGAGAGGATGCTGATCAAGGTGACAGACAGAGAACCCAGCTTCCTCTCTCACCAGGGGAACGGTTACTCCCCCTGCGACCCCCCTACCCTCACCCCCGTCCCCGCACCTGGCACCGGCACCGCCTCCCGTATCCGCCGTTCCTCTGGAGGATCGGCACCCCCTGACAGCGGCCCCGACGGCTCTCCAATCCTCTACGTCGACCGCCGCCAGTCGCCCTTCCTGAAACGGGCGGAGCTAGGGGGCGGAGGTACCGGGACACACCGCCGCCCCTCGGCCGACTCACAGCCCCCCTCCCCACGCTACGCCTACGAACCCCCCCTCTACGAGGAGCCCCCCTCGGAGGTACGACACTCCAACATAGTTACAGAAACACATTCATAAAACATCTAAAAACACACCTCTTTCAGCTAGCCTATGGTATGCTCTGTGATTGACTCTGTTTTACTTGCCTCTTTGTGTCTTTCCCAGTATCCCTATGTGATCTGTCTTGTTTTGTTTGGTCTTATGATTGATTTTAATTGCACTAGGATTTGATTTCCGCCTGTCTTTTCTGTATGCAGTTTCTACACTTTTTTGGGATACTAATTGTTTTTTATTATTCTAGTACCAGCCCCCGCCCATCTACGAGGAACCGCCCACGGACGTGATGCACCACCTGGGCTCTGACTCCTCCTTGCTGTATGGCACAGGGAAGTCTCCGGCACGGGGAAAGCCCTCCTCGGGGACGCCCCTCTACCACTCTCCCAAACTGAGCCACTCCCCCTACGGCCAGCTGGTGCTGACCAAACAGAAGTGTCCAGAGAAGACCCAGAGTCTGGAGTACAGCCCTGCAGGGAAGGAGTATGTCAAACAGCTGGTCTACGTGGAACAGGTAGGTATTCTAGAGGTTAGAGAAGTGGGCCAGCCACCGGCGGGTTGCCGGCTTGAATCCCATGTCTGACAGTAGGACGGTAACTGGAGAGTTGCTGGCACCAGTTGGACATTTGTGTACATTAGACAATAAAGTAATCTTCTTCTTCTTCCTCCTCCAACAGTCCTCCTCCAGCCCACGTTTTAAGACAGCTGACCGGCTCCTTCGCTATGGGACCTCCACGGCCACCCCCTCCTCCATGGGGGGGTATGGGGGCTCCTACGGAGGCTCCTACACCCTCCAACACAGCCAGAGTCTGATCCGGGACCCCCGGCTGCTGCTGGACTACGGGGGCGGGGAGGGGGGCGAGGGCGGAGGCCAGAGGTTGCTCTATGAGGACTCAATGTCCTGGAGCTCCAGTCAGCACCACTCCCTCTCCCTCTCTGGGTCTACAGGAGGAGGGGGCTTCTCGCCCGGGGGGAACCGCAAACGCAAGACCCGGAAACCTTCCCTGCCCCAGGAGCTGGGGAGGTGTGGAGGGGGTGGTGGTGTTGGGGCGGACTGGGAGGAGGGGCCGATGTCGGGGACCCTGTCGGAGGCGGTGTTGAACCAGTCCAGGCTGGCGTGGGAGGCCCAGCAGGTGATGAAACAGAGGAGCAGTTGGGACTCAGCCCCGGGGGAAGGGGGCTCGGCCGGGGGCTCTAACCAGGGAGGGGGCTCTAAAGACGGGTACGAGAGCGATGGGGCGGTGCCCCTGCCTTTGCCAGGCCCAGTGGTGAGGGCGTTTAGCGAGGACGAGGCGTTAGCACAGAGCGACGGGCACCACGGGCATTACCACTGGAAACGCAGCACCTTCGACAGACTGGGCTTCCCTCAGGCACTGCTGGAGAAGAGCCTGTCTGTACAGACCAACCTGGCCTCGCCTGAACCCTTCCTACACCCCTCACAGGTATACACACACACACACACACACACACAGCCTGTCTGTACAGACCAACCTGGCCTCGCCTGAACCCTTCCTACACCCCTCACAGGTATACACACACGCACACACACACACACACAGCCTGTCTGTACAGACCAACCTGGCCTCGCCTGAACCCTTCCTACACCCCTCACAGGTATACACACACACACACACACACACACAGCCTGTCTGTACAGACCAACCTGGCCTCGCCTGAACCCTTCCTACACCCCTCACAGGTATACACACACACACACACACACGCACACACACACACACACAGCCTGTCTGTACAGACCAACCTGGCCTCGCCTGAACCCTTCCTACACCCCTCACAGGTATACACACGCACACACACACACACACAGCCTGTCTGTACAGACCAACCTGGCCTCGCCTGAACCCTTCCTACACCCCTCACAGGTATACACACACGCACACACACACACACACACACACACACACACACACACACACAGCCTGTCAGTGCAGTGCAGACTCTAGCTCTTATATTCTATATTCTGTGTGTGTGTGTGACTGTGTGACTGTGTGACTGTGTGACTGCGAACTCTAGCTCATCTTCTCTGTCACAGAGACACGCCCTAGCTGCCGTAGGTCCATGAATGTTTTATCATGTGCAGAATCAGATCATTATTTGAATGGACTGAGATTGGTTTATGTAATACCAGGGGTTGAAACCTAAATTATTTTCCAATCGTTTCGTTCTGAACAGAATCATTAATTTTTTCGTTCCGTTCCACTGTTCTGACCAGTAAAATAAAGTTCTAATAAAGTTCTGAACCGGTTTGAACCAAAGAAACTCCAGGTTTATATCATTCCTTTCTGTTCCTTTTTAAACCTCTGAAATCGTCATTTTTTTACATTTAGCTTGACATTCAATTACTTCACCAATTATGCAGTGCGGATAGAGCAGCTTGCTAGGGAGCGGGCAAGCTATAGCTCAGTGAGTTGTTTAAAAATGGAAAGATAAGTGTAGGGGGCGAGATACAACTGAAATTTTGCGGGTGAGGAGAGAGCGAGAGAGGGTGGAGGAGGAAGCTTGGTTTGAAGCGCTGGGCATCTTGTGATGACATGCGTTATCTGAATTAGGCCCACAGAATTATGCCTACGGAGCGGCTTCCATGAAGGAACTTTGAATGTCTTTGAACTTCAGAGTTTTAACATTGGACCAGAGCTAGCTAGCTAGCTAACAAGCTTGTGTGTGCAGAGCGGAACTATAATTAAAAACACGTCTTACCTTTTTGTAGTTAATAAATCCAATGTGAAATGTGATAACTATAGTATCCCTAACTAGCATTGAAAAAGTTGATCCATTCTTTTCTAATTAAAAATTGCTCTCCCTCTTTTGAATGACGCTTGTAACGTCAGTAGGCTATAGCTATGCTTCGGAGAGGGAGGGGCAGTTAGCCTACATGCACACACACTGGCAAAGATTTCCAGCTGGCAGCCAGACACTGCATGAAGTTTCTGACTGAAAGACGGCGGGCTTTGCATAGCACTTTGTTGTGTTTTTTTGTGGGACCAGAGCGTAAAATAACGTTATTAACCGGTTCCCATGCTTTTCAAATAACGGTTCTGTTCCGGAACAGTATAGATCACTTTCGTTCCCGGTTCTGATTCTGTTCCTTGAATATTATTATTATTTTTTGCGGTTTTTTGTTCTGTTCTCTGAACCGGTTCCAACCCCTGTGTAATATCCATACTGCTGCTACTGCCACTTAGACAGGGACTGACCTGGACTCTCTGTACCAGATAGGCCACACACACACACGTTATGTTCTTCTATCCTCGTAGGGACCAAAAAAAATAATAATTAAAAATCCTATTTTCCCTAACCCTAAACCTAATCCTTACCATAACCTTAACCCAAATCCTTACCATAACCTTAACCCAAACCCTTATTGTAACCCTAAACCTAACCCCTAAGCTTAAAATAGCCTTTGTCCTAATATAATATGCCATTTAGCAGACGCTTTTATCCAAAGCAACTTACAGTCATGCGTGCATACATTTTTATGTATGGGTGGTCCCGGGGATTGAACCCACTACCCTGGCGTTACAAGCGCCATGCGCTACCAATTGAGCTACAGAGTCCCCACGACTTTCCTTGTTTTATGTGTGTGTGTGTGTGGGTTGGTTGGTTCTTCTGTCCTTGTGGGGACCTAAAATCACCAAAAGTCCCCACAAGGACAGAAGAACCAACCAACCCACACACACACACACACACACACACACGTACACACTGCCACGTACCATCACTTAGAATGTAGGCACAGATCACCAGAATACAGGACTGATCTAGACTCACTGTACCAGACAGGCCTACACTAACTTGGACGCAAGCATGTACACACACCCATGCACACACACATCCCAACACATGCACAGAAAGGCATTGACACACCAGGCCATAAACAAAGACACACAGAGACACATGTCACATGCTCCCACACCTCCCTGTGTGCTGCTGGATGTGTGAGACAAGAGTGACAGCAGGTCTGCTTTAAGGTGTGAAGAGAGATGGGAGCCATGCCAGAGAAGGATTGGAGCCTGTGGGGGAACTACAAGCCAGATTTATTCTGCTTCATATGTGCAGCCCTCCCTCCCTCTCTTTCCCATTCCTTCAATTATCCATCCTTTCTCTTAGCTCTCCATCTCTCTCTCTCTCGCTCTCGCATCTTCCTCTCGTCTCTCTCCTCTCGTCTCTCTCTCCTCTCTCTCTCATCTGCATCATCCACCATCATCCATTATAAATCCCCATCACATAAACACACACCACACCCACCACACTCACACTTGTGTGTGCCTGATTGCGATAACTTGGCCCTCACATAAGAGAAATCTGCCCCCATCACAACCATCAGAGAGAAAGAGGGAGGAAGGGAGAGATAGAGTGGTGGGGGGTGAGAGAGAGAGAGGGGAATAGGCACTTGGGGAGAGGGAGAGATGGGGGAGTTAGTGGAAAATAGCAGGCCTGAAAGTGCTTACCAAGGAACACAGTGCTACTGAAACTCAGAACAGGGAGAACACAGTTCTACTGAAACTCAGAACAGAGAGAACACAGTTCTACTGAAACTCAGAACAGAGAGAACAGTGCTACTGAAACTCAGAACAGAGAGAACACAGTGCTACTGAAACTCAGAACAGAGAGAACACAGTTCTACTGAAACTCAGAACAGAGAGAACACAGTGCTACTGAAACTCAGAACAGAGAGAACACAGTGCTACTGAAACTCAGAACAGAGAGAACACAGTTCTACTGAAACTCAGAACAGAGAGAACAGTGCTACTGAAACTCAGAACAGAGAGAACACAGTGCTACTGAAACTCAGAACAGAGAGAACACAGTTCTACTGAAACTCAGAACAGAGAGAACACAGTGCTACTGAAATTCAGAACAGAGAGAACACAGTGCTACTAAAACTCAGAACAGGGAGAACACAGTTCTACTGAAACTCAGAACAGAGAGAACACAGTGCTACTAAAACTCAGAACAGAGAACACAGTGCTACTGAAACTCAGAAAAGAGAGAACACAGTGCTACTGAAACTCAGAACAGAGAGAACACAGTGCTACTGAAACTCAGAACAGAGAGAACACAGTGCTACTGAAACTCAGAACAGAGAGAACACAGTGCTACTGAAACTCAGAACAGAGAGAACACAGTGCTACTGAAACTCAGAACAGAGAGAACAGTTCTGCTGAAACTCAGAACAGAGAGAACACAGTTCTACTGGAACTCAGAACAGAGAGAACACAGTGCTACTGAAACTCAGAACAGAAAGAACACAGTTATACTGAAACTCAGAACAGAGAGAACAGTGCTACTGAAACTCAGAACAGAGAGAACACAGTGCTACTGAAACTCAGAACAGAGAGAACACAGTTCTACTGAAACTCAGAACAGAGAGAACACAGTTCTACTGAAACTCAGAACAGAGAGAACACAGTGCTACTGAAACTCAGAACAGAGAGAACACAGTGCTACTGAAACTCAGAACAGAGAGAACACAGTGCTACTGAAACTCAGAACAGAGAACACAGTGCTACTGAAACTCAGAACAGAGAGAACACAGTGCTACTGAAACTCAGAACAGAGAGAACAGTTCTGCTGAAACTCAGAACAGAGAGAACACAGTTCTACTGGAACTCAGAACAGAGAGAACACAGTGCTACTGAAACTCAGAACAAAGAGAACACAGTGCTACTGAAACTCAGAACAGAGAGAACACAGTGCTACTGAAACTCAGAACAGAGAACACAGTGCTACTGAAACTCAGAACAGACAGATAGAAAGAAAAAATGAGACGTTAAAAGGGAAAAAATATGACAGTCCTCTAATCTCTCTTTCCTCACAGCATTCCATTTTCACGTCATGTGTTTGTCTACTGCTACTGTTTCTCTCTTTTCTCTCTTTCGCTGTTAATTATGTTTGTACGAGGATAATGAGGAGTCTGGTTTGACAGTCTTTCTGTATTTCTCTCTCTTTCTCTCTCCCTCTCAACCTTACTCTCGCTTTCTCTCTCTCTCCCTCCCTCTCTCTCTGTCTCTCCTCTCTCTCTCTCTCTCTCTCCCTCCCTCTCTCTCTGTCTCTCCTTCTCTCTCTCTCTCTCTTTCTCTCTCCCTCCCTCTCTCTCTGTCTCTTCCTCTCTCCCTCAGTCAGAGGATCTTGGAGCGTGTGCTCAGTTTGAGGCGAGTCGGAATGCTCGGAACATGATGCCCAGCACCAGCTGTGGAGTGTTCCCTGAATTCACCTTGAGGAAGCCATCCTCCGAGACTGACATCGAGAACTGGGCCTCCAAACACTTTAACAAACACACACAGGTACACCCACACACACGCACACAAACACACACACACACACTTAACTTTACACCTTAACACACACTGATACACAACAGACACACACACACACTCCGCTTTACAATTTAAAGTACACAGGAACAGACACACTCTCACGTTAAACCCAGTACTCACTGTCTCACACAAACACATTTATATAATATCTACATTTACATTACGTTTTAATCATTTACCAGACGCTCTTATCCAGAGCGACGTACAGTTAGTGAGTGCATACATTTTTCATACTAGGATAACTAAAGCAAAATATTCACCTATCACTCCTTCCTCCTCCTCCTCCTCCTCCTCCTCCTCCTCCTCCTCCTCCTCCTTCCTCTCCCCCCTCCTCTTCCCTCTCCTCCTCCTTCTCTTCCTCTCCCCCCCCCGTCCTCTTCCTCTTCCTCCCTCTCTCAGGGTCTTTTCCGGCGTAAGGTGTCCATAGCCAACATGCTGGCGTGGAGCAGTGAGCCAATCAAGAAGCCCATGATCGTGACGTCAGACCGTGCGGTGAAGAGAGAGGCGGTGGAGATCTTTAAACTCATCCAGACCTATATGGGAGACCGCCGGGCCAAGACTGACCCGCTCACTGTCGCCCTGGAGGTCTGCAGACCCTCTGATATCCTTATGTCATGTCCCAAATGGCACCCTATTCTCTATATAGGGCACTACTTTGGACCAGAGCCCTTATGGACCCTGGTCAAAAGTAGTGCACTGGAAGTGGAAAGGGTGCCATTTTGGACTCAGCCCATGTCTCCCAGCCCATGTCTCCCCTTCTGCAGCCATGTGTCATTTTATGTGCTTTAAGCTTCAATATATCTTCAGTTTCTGATTTTGTGCATCAAGGAAATAAACATGACTTAATAATCCCCCCCCCCCCCCTCATTTCCTCTCTGTCTTTCTCTCTCTCTTTCGCGCCAAGACTGGCCTCCTGAACATCGCCCTGGAGGTCTGCATAGACCCTTTTATTACCCCTCTCTCCTTTCTCTCCTTCTATCTACTTGTTCATGTCTCTCTTTGAATCTCTCACTTCTCTCCTTTTTCACTCTGTTATTTTATGCATTTATGTCTTTTAAGCTTCAATTTACCTTCAGTTTATTAATTCTGCACATCATGGAAACATATGTGACTTTTAATAATTCTCTTCTCTTCCTTCTCTTCCTTCACTCTGTCCTTTCCCTCTCTTTTCTCCCCAGGTGGCAGTGCGCGGTTGGAGCAGCCAGGGTCTTCGTGATGAGCTCTACATTCAGCTGTGTCGTCAGACTACAGGTGCGCACGCACACCACACACTCACACGGTCAGCTTTACACCTGAACACACACACTGTATAACACTAACAGTGTGTAAACTACTGTACATGTAATTAACAAAGTGATTAATTAATTAGACACAGGCTTGTTGCGCAGTCAACCTGAAGTCAAATGAACTCTAACCCCATCCACTACTTCTCACAGAAAACTTCCGCTATGATAGTCTGGAGAGGGGCTGGGAGCTCATGGCTGTGTGTCTGGCCTTCTTCCCCCCAACTCCACGCTTCCACTCATACCTGGAGGGATACATCTACAGACACATGGACCCCCTCAACGATACTAAAGGTGGGATGAGAAATAGTGTTTGATGTGTGTAGTGGCTGGCTGGCTGTGGCTATGCCTTGTAATGGCGCAGACAGACCAACCCAACCTTTGGCCATTCATAGTAGATCACCAGCTGGGCATCCACGATGTTGGCGATTTAACATGTAGAATCATCAGGAAATGAATCGAAAATAATGCCGATTTTCGGTGGTCAGATACAGGATGGCCACCCGCTGCTAATTACCTTTCATATGCGCAGTCTGTTTTTCCCTTTAGACTTCCCAAACTGTCAGTTATGGTCTGTTTTCCCCTTTAGACTTCCCAAGCTGTCAGTTATGGTCTGTTTTCCCCTTTAGACTTCCCAAGCTGTCAGTTATGGTCTGTTTTCCCCTTTAGACTTCCCAAGCTGTCAGTTATGGTCTGTTTTCCCCTTCAGACTTCCCAAACTGTCAGTTATGGTCTGTTTTCCCCTTCAGACTTCCCAAGCTGTCAGTTAGGGTCTGTTTTCCCCTTCAGACTTCCCAAGCTGTCAGTTAGGGTCTGTTTTCCCCTTCAGACTTCCCAAGCTGTCAGTTAGGGTCTGTTTTCCCCTTTAGACTTTGCAAGCTGTCAGTTAGGGTCTGTTTTCCCCTTTAGACTTTGCAAGCTGTCAGTTAGGGTCTGTTTTCCCCTTTAGGCTTCCCAAGCTGTCAGTTATGGTCTGTTTTCCCCTTTAGACTTCCCAAGCTGTCAGTTATGGTCTGTTTTCCCCTTCAGACTTCCCAAGCTGTCAGTTATGGTCTGTTTTCCCCTTCAGACTTCCCAAGCTGTCAGTTAGGGTCTGTTTTCCCCTTTAGACTTTGCAAGCTGTCAGTTAGGGTCTGTTTTCTCCTTTAGACTTCCCAAACTGTCAGTTATGGTCTGTTTTCCCCTTTAGACTTCCCAAGCTGTCAGTTATGGTCTGTTTTCCCCTTTAGACTTCCCAAGCTGTCAGTTATGATCTGTTTTCCCCTTCAGACTTCCCAAGCTGTCAGTTATGGTCTGTTTTCCCCTTTAGACTTCCCAAACTGTCAGTTATGGTCTGTTTTCCCCTTTAGACTTCCCAAGCTGTCAGTTATGGTCTGTTTTCTCATTTAGACTTCCCAAACTGTCAGTTATGGTCTGTTTTCCCCTTTAGGCTTCCCAAGCTGTCAGTTATGGTCTGTTTTCCCATTTAGACTTCCCAAGCTGTCAGTTATGGTCTGTCTTCCCCTTTAGGCTTCCCAAGCTGTCAGTTATGGTCTGTTTTCCCCTTTAGACTTCCCAAGCTGTCAGTTAGAGTCTGTTTTCCCCTTTAGACTTCCCAAGCTGTCAGTTAGGGTCTGTTTTCCCCTTTAGACTTCCCAAGCTGTCAGTTATGGTCTGTTTTCTCCCCTTTAGACTTCCCAACTGTCAGTTAGGGTCTGTTTTCCCCTTTAGACTTCCCAACTGTCAGTTAGGGTCTGTTTTCCCCTTTAGGCTTCCCAAGCTGTCAGTTATGGTCTGTTTTCCCCTTCAGACTTCCCAAGCTGTCAGTTATGGTCTGTTTTCCCCTTCAGACTTCCCAAGCTGTCAGTTATGGTCTGTTTTCCCCTTTAGACTTCCCAAGCTTTCAGTTAGGGTCTGTTTTCCCCTTTAGACTTCCCAAACTGTCAGTTAGGGTCTGTTTTCCCCTTTTAGACTTCCCAAGCTGTCAGTTATGGTCTGTTTTCCCCTTTAGACTTCCCAAGCTGTCAGTTATGGTCTGTTTTCCCCTTTAGACTTCCCAAACTGTCAGTTAGGGTCTGTTTTCCCCTTAGGGCGGCAGGTAGCTTAGTGGTTAAGAGCGTTGTGCCAGTAACCGAAAGGTCGCTGGTTCTAATCCCCGAGCCGACTAGGTGAAAAATCTGTCGATGTGCCCTTGAGCAAGGCGCTTAACCCTAATTGCTCCTGTAAGTCGCTCTGGATAAGAGCGTCTGCTAAATGACCTATTATTATTATTTAGACTTCCCAAACTGTCAATTATGGTCTGTTTTCCCCTTTAGACTTCCCAAGCTGTCAGTTATGGTCTGTTTTCCCCTTCAGACTTCCCAAGCTGTCAGTTGGGGTCTGTTTTCCCCTTTAGACTTCCCAAGCTGTCAGTTGGGGTCTGTTTTCCCCTTTAGACTTCCCACACTGTCAGTTATCTGCATCCTCAGTCCTGTTATCTAGAGAATATGCGTCTCCCTAAACTGCTAGGCTCTGTGTGTGTGTGTGTGTGTGTGTGTGTGTGTGTGTGTGTGTGTGTGTGTGTGTGTGTGTGTGTGTGTGATTTGTGTTTGGCTGACTGGCCACAGATTGGGTTGTTATTGGAGCCTTTCACCTCAGCATACCACAGTTGAATTCTCTCTCTAGTTCTACCCATTAGTTCTACCCATTAGACAGTTACTGAACGGGGTTTGCAGATATAACCTTCACTTCCTTCCCCTCACTGGTCCCGCCCCATCGGGGTCCCACCCTCCCTGCTCTGCTCTTCCTCTGTCTCTCACCACTCTCTTCCTCTGGTCTCTCCCCCTCTCTTCTCTGCTCTCCCCCTCTTTCTGTCTCCCCCTCTTCTTCCCTTCTCTTCCCCCTCCTCTTCGCTCTTGGCTTTCCCCCTCTCTCTCTTGTCGCTACCCGCCCTCTCTTCCTCTCTCTGCAACCGAACCCCTCTCTCACTCTTCCTCTGTCTCTCCCCCTCTCTCCTCTTCTCCCCCCCTCATCTCCCCTTCTTTCCCCCTCTCTTGTGCCTCTCTCCCTCTCTTCCTCTGTCTCCCCTCTCTCCTTGCTTCCCTAACCGGGCCCCCTCTTTATGGTCCACCCCCTCTTCCTCTGTCTCCTCCCCTCCGCGTCCTCTACCGTTCCGTACCTCTGTCTCTCTCCTTCTTCTCTGTTTCCGACCTCTACCTCCTCTTCTCTCTCCTCGCTCCCCCCCTCCTTCTCTTGTCCTCTCCCTCCCTTCCTCTTCTCTCCCTCCTCTTCCTCTGTCGCTACCCCTCTCTTCCTCTTTCTCTCCCCCTCTCTTCCTCTGTCTCTCCCCCTCTCTTCCTCTGTCTCTCCCCCTCTCTTCCTCTGTCGCTACCCCTCTCTTCCTCTTTCTCTCCCCCTCTCTTCCTCTGTCTCTCCCCCTCTCTTCCTCTGTCTCTCGCCTCCCCTCCTCTTTCCTTGTCTTACCCTCTCTTCCTCTGTCCTACCCCTCTCTTTGTACTTCTTGAGCTCTTCCTATATGTATCTGCCTTCATCTTTCGCTTCCTCTCATCTCCTCTCTTAAGCTTCAAACTCTCCTTTGGACTCATTGAGCCTTCAGTATATGTATCGCCTCAATCCTTCTCTTACTAAATACGTACATTACTATGATACTATTACCTATTTTAATTATATGGTCTTCTGTAGTAAACTGTAGTAAAATGTAGTATACTGTAGAATACTATACTACACTCTGTAGAATCCCTCGATCATGTGTAGTACTTACTATAGAATTTGGTAGTATACTGGAGAATACTATACTCCACACTGTAGTATCCATTGATCATGTACTGCTTACTTCAGAATGTTGTAGTATACTGGAGAATTCTATACTACTCACTGTAGTATCCCTCAATGGTGTAGTGCTTACTATTTTATTTTGTAGTATACTGTAGAATACTATAATGCACACAGTAGTATCCCTCGGTCATGTGTAGTGCTTACTATAGAATTGTGTTGTATACTGTAGAATACTATATTAAATACTACAGTAATGTCTGCAAAAACACTACAGTAATAAGTATAGTATATACTACCATTTGTACTGTAGTAATACTGCAATATTTAATTTGCATATACTCCACCCATTCCCGTCTTCCATATCCATATTTGTGCCACCCATGAGTGAGAAACCTACATGCCAAGTATAGACCATATATTGTGTTCCCTACAGGTTATAGAAAAGAGCAGAAGCTCTGAACTACAGTGGGGAGAACAAGTATTTGAAACACTGCCGATTTTGCAGGTTTTCCTACTTACAAAGCATGTAGAGGTCTGTAATTTTTAAAATCCAGAAAATCACATTGTATGATTTTTAAGTAATTAATTTGCATTTTATTGCATGACATAAGTATTTGATCACCTACCAACCAGTAAGAATTCCAGCTCTCACAGACCTGTTCGTTTTTCTTTAAGAAGCCCTCCTGTTCTCCACTCATTACCTGTATTAACTGCACCTGTTTGAACTCGTTACCTGTATAAAAGACACCTGTCCACACACTCAATCAAACAGACTCCAACCTCTCCACAATGGCCAAGACCAGAGAGCTGTGTAAGGACATCAGGGATACAATTGTAGACCTGCACAAGGCTGGGATGGGCTACAGGACAATAGGCAAGCAGCTTGGTGAGAAGGCAACAACTGTTGGCGCAATTATTAGAAAATGGAAGAAGTTCAAGATGACGGTCAATCACCTTCGGTCTGGGGCTCCATGCAAGATCTCACCTCGTGGGGCATCAATGATCATGAGGAAGGTGAGGGATCAGCCCAGAACTACACGGCAGGACCTGGTCAATGACCTGAAGAGAGCTGGGACCACAGTCTCAAAGAAAACCATTAGTAACACACTACGCCGTCATGGATTAAAATCCTGCAGCGCATGCAAGGTCCCCCTGCTCAAGCTAGCGCATGTCCAGGCCCGTCTGAAGTTTGCCAATGACCATCTGGATGATCCAGAGGAGGAATGGGAGAAGGTCATGTGGTCTGATGAGACAAAAATATAGCTTTTTGGTCTAAACTCCACTCGCCGTGTTTGGAGGAAGAAGAAGGATGAGTACAACCCCAAGAACACCATCCCAACCGTGAAGCATGGAGGTGGAAACATCATTCTTTGGGGATGCTTTTCTGCAAAGGGGACAGGACGACTGCACCGTATTGAGGGGAGGATGGATGGGGCCATGTATCGCGAGATTCTTGGCCAACAACCTCCTTCCCTCAGTAAGAGCATTGAAGATGGGTCGTGGCTGGGTCTTCCAGCATGACAATGACCCGAAACACACAGCCAGGGCAACTAAGGAGTGGCTCCGTAAGAAGCATCTCAAGGTCCTGGAGTGGCCTAGCCAGTCTCCAGACCTGAACCCAATAGAAAATCTTTGGAGGGAGCTGAAAGTCTGTATTGCCCAGCGACAGCCCCGAAACCTGAAGGATCTGGAGAAGGTCTGTATGGAGGAGTGGGCCAAAATCCCTGCTGCAGTGTGTGCAAACCTGGTCAAGACCTACAGGAAACGTATGATCTCTGTAATTGCAAACAAAAGGTTTCTGTACCAAATATTAAGTACTGCTTTTCTGATGTATCAAATACTTATGTCATGCAAATTAATTACTTAAAAATCATACAATGTGATTTTCTGGATTTTTGTTTTAGATTCCGTCTCTCACAGTTGAAGTGTACCTATTTAAAAAAATTGCAGACCTCTACATGGTTTATAAGTAGGAAAACCTGCAAAATCGGCAGTGTATCAAATACTTGTTCTCCCCACTGTATCTGTTCAGACTCCAGTCCTACCTACAGGTTAAGGAGCATGTGCTCTTAGTATTTGCCCATTAGGTTTCCTCAAGCACAAAGACCCCACTTCTATGTCAAAGAAAATAAAACAAAAAACAGTATGGTAAATACTACAGTAATATCCGCAAAAACTTTCCAGAATTAGACCAGTGTTACCCTCCAGTAATGAACTATTGAGTGTCAGCAGCACCACTCTGCTGTGTGCCACCCATACACGTGTGTGTGTGTGTGTGTGTGTGTGTGTGTGTGTGTGTGTGTGTGTGTGTGTGTGTGTGTATTCTTTCTGTTTCCTTACTGTACCTTTGTTTTGAGTCCACTTCTCTTCAGTAATTACAACCCATTACTGTATGATCTGACGACTAACCTCTGTGTGTGTGTGTTATTCCTTCCAGGAGTGGCGATCAGCGGCTATGCCAAATACTGTTACCGTAAACTGCAGAAGGCTGCTCTGACCGGAGCTAAGAAGGTCTGTGCTCTGTTTCCTCTGTAACCTGACCCAAAACCCACCATCCTTCATAAGAATTATTCCCTGGTTTTTTCTCTTCTTTCTAATCTTTGGATGTCTGTCTGTCCGTTGTGTCTGTACCTGGCGGGGCTATGTGCTCATCTTCCTCCCCCGTTAGTCGTAGCGTAGTTAGCGCAGGGTTAGTTAGCTAGCTGTTAATTGGCTGAGAGAACAGTAACCATAGGGAGTAACGAGGTCTATGTAGCTAACTACTAACCATCCCCATGGCAACAACACACACCACTTAATTAACACCCCTCCTCACGCACGCCACACACACACACACATACCAACACACACACACACTGTAAGGGTTGGTGTGAGGTGTGACCCAGGTGCGGTGCAGGATAGACAGGAAGCAGTAGGCAGAGATGGTGAAACAAGGATCTTTACTGGTGGTCCCAAAAGCCAGGATACAAAACAACGGACTATTCACAAAATCAAATGAGGAGCACATGGGTCTCCAAAAAACAGGCTGACAGCAAACAATATGAAATACTAACTCTTACAGAAAACCACAAAGACACAGGGAGAACACTTCTCGAGTACCTGTACTACCGTCTTGTGATCAGACACTGATATACGTACTGCTTGACATAAAGGAACTAGCAGAGAAAACTGAGCAAGGGAACACAGGGAAGTAAGGCCATAAATCCACAGGTGAATCAGATAGCCACAGGTGAAACCAATAGGCAGATAATTAGTCCCGACTGTGAGTGAGAAGCTGCCTATGGTTGTCGGAGGATGAGACCTAGTGGGTCGCTCCAGAACTGCGACCCACTCCTGTAACAACACACTATACACACCCTGCTAATACGGCGTACCCCACCGCCATCTGATTAAGAATTCCATATCGGAATGCTCCCAGGGATGGGAATATGGGGCATAATGCCATGCTACATACACACACACACACACACACACACACACACACACACACACTACACACACTACACACTCACACACACACACTACACACACACACACACTACACACACACACACACTACACACACATTCAACGGTATGTCACCATTGACTTGTATTACTTTAGGCTCTTATTTTCTGAATAGGAAATTAATAAGTAGATCAATCAAATGTATTTATAAAGCCCTTTATACATCAGCAGTTGTCACAAAGTGCTATTCAGAAACCCAGCCTAAAACCCCAAACAGCAAGCAATGCAGATGTAGAAGCACGTGGCTAGGAAAAACTCCCTAGAAAGGCAGAAACCTAGGAAGAAACCTAGAGAGGAACCAGGCTCTGAGGGGTGGCCAGTCCTCTTCTGGCTGTGCCGGGTGGCGATTATAAGAGTACATGGCCATTAAGGCCAAATTGTTCTTCAAGATGTTCAAACGTTCATAGATGACCAGCAGGGTCAAATAATAATAGGTGAATGAGAGGATAAGCTAAACTCCAGTTAGTCTCATTATTTATCCTTTGATTTAGTATTTTTCTGTTTGTGTGACAAAGGACTTCCTGTGTTTCCATTTAGCCCCTCATTTGAATCATCTCCCTCTAGCTGTGTGTGTGTGTATGTGTGTGTATTTGTCTTAATTTAGTTATTGTTTCAGCAAGCGGTGTACATAATGCAGTGTATTATGAATGTAAATGTCTGGAGCAGGACTCCTGCTGAGACTGCTGGGACAACTCGGCACACACACACGTATCCGCCCACACGCTCGCACACACACACACAAATGCACAAGCACACACACATGCTCACATGCTTCTTAACCAGTCCACCAATTAAAGGGGCCCTTCAGGCAAATGTATCCATGAGTGTTTTTATACCAGATCACAACTCTACAGTCTGCCTCTGTTTGCCAGGCTCCCAGACGGAGAGGGTGTGTGTGTTGGTGCGTGCGTGTGTGCGAGAGAGGGGGGGTAAGGCTGGGAGGGTGAGGAGGGAAGGCTGGGTGTCATGGAAACAACCTCCAGGGAGACATTCCATTCCGTTGTTCATCTATCCTGACCTAAAAAACACTATCTGACTAACTGACTCACTAAACCAGTTCCGGTCGATACTAGCCAGTTAGCTGTCGGTTTTAGACCAGTACCAGTCATTATCAGGCCACTCCACTGGTTTACATGGGTTGTAATAGAACGGCCTCTCTATACTGCCCACTGGGCACAGACATCAGTTCAACGTCTAAATCAACAAAAAATGTCACCATGTCATTGAATTTAGGTTAAAGGTTGAGTGAAAAAAAGACACAATTCCCTTACGTTGAGGACTTTTTTCGAATCCAATCAGTTTTCCACGATGATTCAACGACATCACATACAATTTTGGGGTTGAAATGACATGGAATCAACGTTGATTCAACAAGTCTTTGCCCAGTGGTTGGTGTCCAGTGCTGATCTCTACTCTGACCTTCTGACATCTGACCTTTTGAATGCCCTAGTAATCTCTCTTTGCCCTAGTAACTCTCTCTTTGCCCTAGTAACTCTCTCTTTGCCCTAGTAACTCTCTCTATGTCCTAGTAACTCTCTCTATGTCCTAGTAACTCTCTCTATGTCCTAGTAACTCTCTCTATGTCCACCTCTCTATGCCTATCTGTGTACTAAACACTACACCATGGGTGTGTAGCCTCAGAGCCAGCAGCATTGCAGGGAATGTTGCTAGAACATCAGAGTAGGGTCTAGACCCCCCATACTCAACTGGCGGACCGCGGGCCGGATCCTGACCTAGAACATCAGAGTAGGGTCTAGACCCCCCATACTCAACTGGCGGACCGCGGGCCGGATCCTGACCTAGAACATCAGAGTAGGGTCTAGACCCCCCATACTCAACTGGCGGACCGCGGGCCGGATCCTGACCTAGAACATCAGAGTAGGGTCTAGACCCCCCATACTCAACTGGCGGACCGCGGGCCGGATCCTGACCTAGAACAGGGTCAATAAAGACTGCGGGTCCCCCCCCCCCCCTCCAAAAAAAAAAGAACAAATACATAATAATAAACATTGCATTCGGAAAGTATTCAGACCCCTTGACTTTTTCCACATTTTGTTATGTTACAGCCTTATTCTAAAATTGATTAAATAACAGTTTTTTATGCTAAGTTGTTAAAAATAAAAAACAAAAATACCTTATTTACATTAGTATTCAGACCCTTTGCTATGGGACTCGAAATTGAGCTCAGGTGCATCCTGTTTCTATTGATCATTACATTTACATTTACGTCATTTAGCAGACGCTCTTATCCAGAGCGACTTACAAATTGGTTCATTCAACTTACGATAGCCAGTGGGACAACCACATTTGTATTTTATTTTAATTTTTTTGGGGGTGGGGGAAGAAGGATTACTTTATACTATTCCAGGTATTCCTTAAAGAGGTAGGGTTTCAAGTGTCTCCGGAAGGTGGTCAGTGACTCCGCTGTCCTGGCGTCGTGGGGGAGCTTGTTCCACTATTGGGGTGCCAGAGCAGTGAATAGCTTTGACTGGGCTGAGCGGGAACTGTGCTTCTGTAGAGGTAGGGGAGCTAGCAGGCCAGAGGGGGATGAACGTAGTGCCCTCGTTTGGGTGTAGGGTCTGATCAGAGCCTGAAGGTAAGGAGGTGCCGTTCCCCTCACAGCTCCGTAGGCAAGCACCATGGTCTTGTAGTAGATGCGAGCCTCAACTGGAAGCAAGTGGAGTGTGCGGAGGAGCAGGGTGACATGAGAGAACTTGGGAAGGTTGAACACCAGACGGGCTGCAGCGTTCTGGATAAGTTGTAGGGGTTTAATGGCACAGGCAGGGAGCCCAGCCAACAGCGAGTTGCAGTTATCCAGAAGGGAGATGACAAGTGCCTGGATTAGGATCTGTGCCGCTTTCTGTGAAAGGTAGGGTCGTACTCTGCGAATGTTGTAGAGCATGAACCTGCAGGATCGGGTCACCGCTTTGATGTTAGCGGAGAACGACAGGGTGTTGTCCAGGGTCACGCCAAGGTTCTTTGCACTCTGGGAGGAGGACACAATGGAGTTGTCAACCGTGATGGCGAGATCATGGAGCGGGCAGTCCTTCCCTGGGAGGAAGAGCAGCTCTGTCTTGCCGAGGTTCAGCTTGAGGTGGTGATCCGACATCCACACTGATATGTCTGCCAGACATGCAGAGATGCGATTCGCCACCTGGTTATCAGAAGGGGGAAAGGAGAAAATGAATTGTGTGTCGTCTGCGTAGCAATGATAGGAGAAACCATGTGAGGATATGACAGAGCCAAGTGACTTGGTGTATAGAGAGAATAGGAGAGGGCCTAGAACTGAGCCCTGGGGGACACCAGTGGTGAGAGCACGTGGTGCGGAGACAGATTCTCGCCACGCCACCTGGTAGGAGCGACCTGTCAGGTAGGACGCAATCCAAGAGTGAGCAGCGCCGGAGATGCCCAACTCGGAGAGGGTGGAGAGGAGGATCTGATGGTTCACAGTATCAAAGGCAGCCAATAGGTCTAGAAGTATAAGAGCAGAGGAGAGAGAGTTAGCTTTAGCAGTGCGGAGAGCCTCCGTGACACAGAGAAGAACAGTCTCAGTTGAATGACCAGTCTTGAAACCTGACTGGTTTGGATCAAGAAGGTCATTCTGAGAGAGATATCAGGAGAGTTGGATAGAGACGGCACGCTCAAGAGTTTTGGAGAGAAAAGCAAGAAGGGATACTGGTCTGTACTTGTTGACATCGGAGGGATCGAGTGTAGGTTTTTTAAGGAGGGGTGCAACTCTCGCTCTCTTGAAGACGGAAGGGACATGGCCAGCGGTCAAAGATGAGTTGATAAGTGAGGTGAGGTAAGGGAGAAGGTCTCCGGAAATGGTCTGGAGAAGAGAGGAGGGGATAGGGTCAAGCGGGCAGGTTGTTGGGCGGCCGGCCGTCACAAGTCGCAAGATTTCATCTGGAGAGAGAGGGGAGAAAGAAGTCAAAGCATACGGTAGGGAAGTGTGAGCAGGACCAGCGGTGTAATTTGACTTAATAAATTAGGATCCCTTCTTTTCAAAATGGTTGATGAACTCATCCACAGAGAGGGGGGAGGGAGGGGGAGGAGGAGGAGTATTCAGCAGGTAGGAGAAGGTGACAAAGAGCTTCCTAGGGTTAGAGGCAGAGGCTTGAAATTTCGAGTGGTAGAAAGTGGCTTTAGCAGCGGAAACAGAGGAAGAGAATGTAGAGAGGAGGGAGTGAAAAGATGACAGGTCCGCAGGGAGTCTAGTTTTCCTCCATTTCCGTTCGGCTGCCCGGAGCCCTCTTCTGTGAGCTCGCAATGAGTCGTCAAGCCACGCTGGGAGGATAGGGGACATAGAGTGTCAAAAGATGCAGAAAGGGAGGAGAGGAGGGTTGAGGAGGCAGAATCAGGAGATCGGAGGGAGAAGGATTTAGCAGAGGGAAGAGATGATAGGATGGAAGAGGAGAGAGAAGCGGGAGAGAGAGAACGAAGGTTGCAACGGCACATTACCATCTGAGTAGAGGCAGAGTGAGTAGTGTTGGAGGAGAGTGAGAGAGAAAAGGATACAAAGTAGTGGTCGGAGACTTGGAGGGGAGTTGCAGTGAGATTAGTAGAAGAACAGCATCTAGTAAAGATGAGGTCCAGCGTATTGCCTGCCTTGTGAGTAGGGGGGGACGGTGAGAGGGTGAGGTCAAAAGAGGAAAGGAGTGGAAAGAAGGAGGCAGAGAGAAATGAGTCAAAGGCAGACGTAGGGAGGTTAAAGTCACCCAGAACTGTGAGGGGTGAGCCATCCTCAGGAAAGGAATTTATCAAGGCGTCAAGCTCATTGATGAACTCTCCAAGGGAACCTGGAGGGCAATAAATGACAAGGATGTTAAGCTTGAATGGGCTAGTGACTGTGACAGCATGGAATTCAAATGAGGAGACAGACAGATGTGTCAGGGGAAAAATAGAGAATGTCCACTTGGGAGAGATGAGGATTCCTGTGCCACCGCCGCGCTGACCAGATGCTCTCGGGGTATGCGAGAACACATGGTCAGATGAGGAAAGAGCAGTAGGAGTAGCAGTGTTTTCTGAGATGTTTCTACAACTTGATTGGAGTCCACCTGTGGTAAATTCAGTTGATTGGACATGATTTAGAAAGGCACACACCTGTCTATATAAGGCCCCATAGTTGACAGTGCATGTCAGAGCAGAAACCAAGCCATGAGGTTGAAGGAATTGTCGGTATAGCTCAGAGACAGGATTGTGTCGAGGCACAGATCTGGGCAAGGGTACCAAAAAGTGTCTGCAGCATTGAAGCTCAACAAGAACACAGTGGCCTCCATCATTCTTAAATGGAAGAACTTTGGAACCACCAAGACTCTTCCTAGAGCTTGCCGCCCGGCCAAACGGAGCAATCGGGGGAGAAGGGCCTTGGGGAGGGGGGGACCAAGAATCTGATGGTCGCTTTGACAGAGCTCCAGAGTTTCTCTGTGGAGATGGGACAACCTTCCAGAAGAACAACCATCTCTGCAGCAGTCCACCAATTAGGCCTTTATGGTAGAGTGGCCAGACGGAAGCCACTCCTCAGTTAAAGGCACACGACAGCCCGCTTGAAGTTTGCCAAAAGGCACCTAAAGGACTCTCAGACCATGAGAAACTAGATTGAAACAATCTTGGTCTGCTGAAACCAAGATTGAACTCTTTGGCCTGAATGCCAAGCGTCAACGTCTGGAGGAAACCTGGCACCATCCCTACGGTGAAGCGTGGTGGTGGCAGCATCATGCTCTGGGGATGTTTTTCAGCGGCAGGGACTGGGAGACTAGTCAGGATCGAGGGAAAGATGAATGGAGCAAATACAGAGAGATCCTTGATGAAAACCTGCTCCAGAGCGCTCAGGACCTCAGACTGGGGCGAAGGTTCACCTTCCAACAGGACAACAACCCTAAGCACACAGCCAAGTCAACGCAGGAGTGGCTTCGGGACAAGTCTCTGAATGTTCTTGAGTGGCCCAGGCAGAGCCCGGACTTGAACCCGATCTAACATCTCTGGAGAGACCTGAAAATAGCTGTGCAGCAACGCTCCCCATCCAACCTGACAGAGCTTGAGAGGATCTGCAAAGAAGAATGTGAGAAACTCCCCAAATACAGGTGTGCCAGGCTTGTAGCGTCATACACAATAAGACTTGATGTTGTAATCACTGCCAAAGGTGCTTCAACACCTGGTCTAGACAATCTAATATTCATGTGTAATCCAGACTACTAGCCTCCCACTGGGCACACCACGTCATTTCAACGTGTAGAATGGGTAATATTTGGTAGATACGTTGATCAATGAGATACCAACCTATTTTCACCCACTCAAAAAGACAGCCAAAAGCTTGTTGAATTCCCAATGTGTTATCACTATGCTTTCAACCATCTAAAAGCACAACCCAATTCCAATGGAAAATCAATGTCTGATTTTTAGTTTAGTTAAATGTGTTATCACTGCTCTTTACACCATTTAAAAGCACACCAAAGTTCAAATTGGAATGTGTTGTCAGATACTTTGTTTATTTACACAACAACCAAATGACTTGGCTTGCAGCTAGTTGAGATAACATTAATGTACCTGGTGCAAGTGATCAATACCATTTGAGATTATTTTAGCAATTGTGAAGATTTCCACAGGCCTGCGACTCTGAACATGCACGCTTTCTATGACTACATAAGAAGATATTTATTGTTACAGTAACCTCAAAATGTGGCCATGGATGTGTTACTCATTTTAAGGATGAATAAATACTGTTACATTAGTTTGTAAAATAGCCTTAATATTATTCTATTTACTGTCTTACAAAAGTAATATTGAATTGTGTTTGGTTGATCAACACAACCAAATATCAACATTTGAAGGAGATGTATCTTATGCTTGGATCGCTACATCTGTGCCACTGAGTCTGGCTTTAATTCCAGTTTGTCAAAAAAATTATAATTTGTATGTTGGATTCACATCTCCATTTAAACCAAAAATCTAAGTTAAAGAATAGGAATACATCAAATTAAATCAAACTTTAAATGCACTTTAAATACAGTTTTATTTGATTTAATCATATTCTTTAACTTTTATTTTTGGTTGAGATGGAGACGTGAATCCAACATATTTATTATTAACTTGTAGATTCCATTTGAAATCAACCAACGCTTGAAACCCTTGGCCTATATGTATTGTCTATTTTTAGTTGAATCGTTGGGCTGAATTTAAACAATAGCTGTTGATGACTTCCCAAATTCTGTATAGGCCTAAATAGTATCATTGATGATATATGATTGATAAAGTATGGTTACATTTCATTTGCTCTGTTGAACCTACTCTTTGGAATGACTTTGATAGCAACAGAGAATGCATTAAGTGGAGATTTCTCCACAGTCATTCTCAGGATAGCACATTGGTAATAGTCAGTGACAAATATCTAAAGCTGGGCTTGGTTAAAACCATGGATGGGAGACCGAAGGGATAGCAGTATATAATAATAATAATATGCCATTTAGCAGACGCTTTTATCCAAAGCATACATTTTTGTGTATGGGTGGTCCCGGGGATCGAACCCACTACCTTGGCGTTACACAGATAGCTAAACTCTCCAGTAGGAGGTGCTGCTCAGCCTATAGTTTTTTTCTTATAGTGGATATTAAGTTGAAGATCTGACATTGTTTCAAATGTACAAATTCAACATATTTTATGTAAGGTTTTTCTATGTTGAAAATTGGTTACCATGATGACATAATCCTGTGATTGAAATTTTACCCTCAAAACAATAGTTTAAGCTGATGACTTTTTTCATATTCAATGTATTTTCCATGTAGATTCCACATCACAATACGTTGACAAATTACGTTGAAACAACGTTGATTTAACCAGTTTGTGCCCAGTGGGCTACATCTAGCTCAGTTAATGTGAAATATTTTGAATATTGCAGATAGAAATAGAACTGACAGGATTCCTTATTCTATCTGACAGATAATGATATCAGTTATATATCACAATATATTTCAATTTGAATGTTCGGTAACATTACATCCTCTCGAACAGGCCCCAATGTGACCATGGAGCAATAATTCTACATCTTGTCATGGAATGGTGCTGTTCTCTTTCCGACCACAGGAGGGGGCCTGTGAGGCGGTAATCTGCTGTCTACACTATCTATAGAGTCAGGAACAGACCGAGAGCTGAACTGAAGGAAAGGGCAGAGGAGGGAGAGAGGAGAGACAGATGGAGAGCGAGACCAAGGGATAGAGGGAGGAACAGAGCAAAGGAGCAGTGGAGAGGAATTGATTGGGATGGAGAGGGAGGAAGCCAAATTGACAGGGAATGAAAGAGAGGAAGAGAGCAAAAGGATGGATTGATAGTGGTGGGTAGTGTAATGAATTGTTTGTGTGTGTGTGTGTGTGCGCTCCTGTCTCCTATCACCCGTGGCGATGTCAGCTTATGATAGCGGGCACTGGTAGTTGGCATAGCGTGTGTGAGGCATGTAGCATGTGCCAGCATCTCTGCAGGGTGGTAATAGAGACAGTTTGTCACTTGGTGTACTCACTCACACACCCTGAATGTAGCCAGTAGCCTGAGGCACAGTGTTTGACTGGTATTAACCCCAGAGCAGAGCCTCTACCGGGGGGATTAATAGGACTGATTCTGCCCTTGTGAAGGAAGAGCAAACCCCCTGAACTCTCTCTTGCTATCCCGCTCTCTCTCTCTCTCTCTCTCTCTTCCCTTTCCCCCTTCCCACTCCCTTCATACTTATTTTCAGTTGCTCAATAATTAATTTAGATTAATTTATGAAGGTCATACCATTATTTTTCAGTGAATGCGCAGTTGCTAAATACAGTGTGTAATGTGTGACTTTGGGCTATGCCTCGGGAGCCGTAGTGTTATATTATGGCAGAACTGCACAGCCCGCCGTTGATTATTCCTTACATACAGTATAAAACAATACATACATTACCTTAATGGCCATATGGGTCTTTCTATAAATAATGGGGCCAACGTGTGACATTGGGATCAAAACTTCAAAATGGTTTGAAACAAAAATAAAAAAGATTTTAATGCAGTACCACATGTGTACTTAGAGGAATAAAAGTGAATATATGCAAATGGTCCCATAACTCCACCTATACAACAACATACTCCTAGGACTATACATCTTTAAGCAGGGTTCATACAGACATTGTGAAGTTTTTCAAGCACTTCATTGTAATTTTCATGGACTCAATGTTATACAATTGTATAATTTATATACTTGTACATATAGGGCCTAATTTTAGACCCCCCCCCCAAACACACACACACACACACAAAAGCATGCATAAAGTGTCAGAAAAGTAGGCCATTACCACTTTAAGAATAATGCATTTTTTTATGCTTTGCCAATGCATTGATATTCAAATTATTAAATATGTGAGAATAATGTGGACATGGCCTGACTAAATAGATTAGATGCATGCATAGTGATTCTTCTGTAGCCTTTGTGGCCGACACAGGGACACATAATAAAACCATGAATAGTGGTAGCATTAATCTCTCCTTTTGAATCTCACCATTGCTGTTTTTTATCATGTGAAAGTGACCAAAAACCAGGTTTTAATGGAACAATTTGTATTTAAAGCCAGGTTGAAGCCAACATTAGATGTTGTCTTCCTCATAATTACCGCACATGGTTTTACCGCAACAGATGATGAACGTCAATTCGCTAGGGATATTAGATCCAACGTGGATCCAGGCACAACTGTCATCACCGGCTTAAGGAATGAGACACCAAAATATTATGGACATTCCTGGCGAACACTTTCTTTCCAGCACTTGGGCTGTTGTTGCATCGCATGTGTTATCACAACAGCTGTTTATCACTTCATCATTCGGAAAATTCCTTCCTGGATCAGATGATGATGTGTCAAAATATAACAGCGTAACTAATCAGCTGGACACCAAATGGCATCCAACAAGTATTATACGTAATTATTTAAGAACCACATTAATGACAGTATCGATTTAGGTTTTAAGTATCAAGGTAAGGTGACTCTTTTGGTGAGAAGCATTTGATTTTGCAATGCATACATTATTTTGGATTGCAATGCATACATTATTTTGGATTTATGTGCCCATGAAAACAGTTTTCACCCCATAACATAAGGAGACACAAAACGTTACTTATTTACACTGCATTTCTGAGATCTCTATACAAAAAACTGTCTGACAGCTAGATCCAGGATTCTTACAGGTTCAAGTTCAATGACTAATTTACACTGAACATCCCTGTTAGTGGGCATTTCTCTTTTGCCAAGATCATCCATCCACCTAACAGGTGTGGCATATCAAGAAGCTGATTAAATAGCATGATCATTACACAGGTGCACCTTGTGCTGGGGACAATAAAAAGCCACTCAAAAGTGTGCAGTTTTGTCAATCAACACAATGCTACAGATGTCTCAAGTTTTGAGGGAGCGTGTAATTAGCATGCTGACTGCAGGAATGTCCACCAGAGCTGTTGCCAGATAATTTAATGTTCATTTCTATACCATAAGCCGCCTCCAACATCGTTTTAGAGAATTTGGCAGTACATCCAACCGGCCTCACAACCACAGACCACGTGTAACCATGCCAGCCCAGGACCTACACATCCGGCTTCTTCACCTGCGGGATGGTCTGAGACCAGCCACCTGGACAGCTGATGAAACTGTGGGTTTGGACAACCAAATAATTTCTACACAAACTGTCAGAAACCGTCTCAGGGAAGCTCATCTGCGTGCTCGTCGTCCTCACCAGGATCTTGACCTGACTGAAGTCCAGCGTTGTAACCGACTTCAGTGGGCATATGCTTACCATTAATGGTCACTGGCACGCTGGAGAAGTGTGCTCTTCATGGATGAATCCCGGTTTCAGCTGTACCGGCCAGATGGCAGACAGCGTAGCGTGTATGGCGTTGTGTGGGCGAGCGGTTTGCTGATGTCAACGTTGTGAACAGAGTGCCCCATGGTGGCGGTGGGGGTGTGGTATGGGCAGGCATAAGCTATGGACAACGAACGCAATTGCATTTTATCAATGGCAATTTGAATTCACAGAGACACCGTGACGAGATCCTGAGGCCCATTGTCGTGCCATTCATCCGCCGCCATCACCTTATGTTTCAGCATGATAATGCACGTCCCTATGTCGCAAGGATCTGTATTCCCAGTTCTTCATGGCCTGCATACTCACCAGACATATTACCCATTGAGCATGTTTGGGATGCTCTGGATCGACGTGTACGACTGCATGTTCCAGTTTCCGCCAATATCCAGCTACTTCGCACAGCCATTGAAGAGGAGTGGGACAACATTCCACAGGCCACAATCAACTCTATGCGAAGGAGATGTGTCGCACTGCATGAGGCAAATGGTGGTCACACCAGATATTGACTGGTTTTCTGATCCACGCCCCTAACTCTATTTTTAAAGGTACCTGTGACCAACAGAGGAATGTCTGTATTCCCAGTCATGTGAAATGCATAGATTAGGGCCTAATGAATTTATTTCAATTTACAGATTTTCTTATATGAACTGTAACTCAGTAAAATCTTTGAAACTGTTGCATGTTGCATTTTTATATTTTTGTTCCATGTAACTGATTAATGCTTAATATATGATATAACGACAACTTACACTGCCATAAATGCAAGGACAGAAAAGTAATGTTTGATGTCACACGATTTTGGACAAATCTGTCAAGACACCAACCATGATAAAGGGTTAAACATAGGTTTTAAATCAACTCGTGAATTGTATTGAATATAGCTATGTTCCCCCTTATATCTTAATGTAATGACATGAAATAAATTGGCAGATTATTATCAATGACTTATCAACAGCTGGAACAAGTTGTCCAGCGTAGGAAATCCTCACTGGTACCCTAGTTTATAGAAAACCCCATATGTACTCTAAATCTCTAGCCGGCACAGCCAGAAGAGGATGGGCCATCTCTCTGAACCTGGTTCCTCTCTACGTTTCTTCCTTCTAGGGAACTTTTCCAGGCCACTCTGCTTCTGCCTCTGCATTGCATGCTCTTTGGTGTTTAGGCTGGATAACTTTAAAGCATTTTGTGACAACTGCTGAAGTAAAAGGGCTTTATAAAATACATTTGATTGATTGATTAATGATCGATTGATTGATGCATCTGTCTGTGTTGTAATCCAGGGGTTGCAGAAGCCGTGTCTGGAGGAGATCAAACATGCCAGGAACGCCATCTTCAGCCCCTCCATGTTTGGCTCTTCCCTGGAGGAAGTGATGTCACTGCAGAAGGAGCGTTACCCCGACAGCCAGCTGCCCTGGGTCCAGACACGCCTCTCTGAGGAGGTCCTGGGTCTTAATGGAGACCAAACCGAGGGCATCTTCAGGTCAGTACCTACCTCTCACTCACTATAACACTAGGGAGGGAGGGAGGGAGGGAGGGAGGGAGGAGTTAGTAGTATTAGACATGCCTGTCAGTGAAGGTCCTGCTACTCAATGGAGACCAGACAGAGGAAGAGAGATAAATGAATGAGATAAAGGGATTGGTAAAGGGATAGATATGCTGTGAGGAATGAAGGAGGAGTCTAATGTGTCTCTGACCCCTGACCTCACAGGGTTCCAGGTGACATAGATGAGGTCAATGCTCTCAAGCTGCAGGTGGACCAATGGAAGATCCCCACGGACCTGGAGGACCCACACATCCCAGGTAATACACACACCGTACACCAGTGGTGACTGGTGGCACTTTAAATGGGGAGGACGGGTGCATAGTAATGTCTGGAATGGAATAAATGGAATGTTCTCAAACACATCAAACACCTGGTTTCCATGTGTTTGATACCATTCCATTCACTCCATTCCATTCATTATTATGAACCGTCCTCCCCTCACCAGCCTCCACTGCCGTACTCACACATCCCAGGTAACACATGATCCACCAACCCACTGTATATGCTCCCTCCCCTTTCTCCCACCCTCCCCTAGCCCCAGGCCCTCTCCCTTCTCCCACTCTCCCCTAGCCCCAGGCCCCCCCCCCCTTCTCCCACCCTCCCCTAGCCCCGGGCCCTCCCCCTTCTCCCACCCTCCCCTAGCCCCAGGCCTTCTCCCACTCTCCCCTAGCCCCAGGCCCTCCCCCTTCTCTCCCACCCTCCCCTAGCCCCAGGCCCTCCCCCTTCTCTCCCACCCTCCCCTAGCCCCAGGCCTTCTCCCACTCTCCCCTAGCCCCAGGCTCTCCCCCTTCTCTCCCCACCCTCCCCTAGCCCCAGGCCCTCCCCCTTCTCTCCCACCCTCCCCCTAGCCCCAGGCCCTCCCCCTTCTCTCCCACCCTCCCCTAGCCCCAGGCCTTCTCCCACTCTCCCCTAGCCCCAGGCTCTCCCCCTTCTCTCCCACCCTCCCCTAGCCCCAGGCCCTCCCCCTTCTCTCCCACTCTCCCCTAGCCCCAGGCCCTCCCCCTTCTCTCCCACCCTCCCCTAGCTCTCCCACCCTCCCCTAGCCCCAGGCCCTCCCCCTTCTCTCCCACCCTCCCCTAGCCCCAGGCCCTCCCTCTTCTCTCCCACCCTCTCCTAGCCCCAGGCCCTCCCCCTTCTCTCCCACCCTCCCCTAGCCCCAGGCCCTCCCCCCTTCTCTCCCACTCTCCCCTAGCCCCAGGCCCTCCCTCTTCTCTCCCACCCTCTCCTAGCCCCAGGCCCTCTGCAGTGCTCTAATTCTCTCTGAATATTAATGGCCCCAACACCAAAGCATGCTAGGAGCTGCATCAGCAGGTCAACATGATTGGGATGCCCCCCTCCACACACACACACACACACACACATTCCCCCCTACTGCAATTTTTTTTAAACAACAATAAAATTGATTTCATAGCAGGAAAGAAGGAGCAATCCTGTGTGGAGGTTGGCAGAGCTTGCAGAGGTCATCGTCAGTCACAACTCTATTACCAACACAGATATGGATGAGCACACACACACACATAGAGATGTGTGATGGTGTTCTTCTGGTCTGTTCTGTGTGTGATTAAGGCATTAGTGTCAGGGCATGCTGGCCAGGATGGTAGAGGGCTTGTAGAGGGGGGCTGTGTGTCTGACCGGTCAACTGTTTCTGTCTCTTGATTGGACTGTCATTGAAATTGTAAAAAATTGACTTAACGCTGTACAGATTTTTTTGGGGGAATTATTTTTATTTAACCTTTATTTAACTAGGCAAGTCCGTTAAGAACAAATTCTTATTTACAATGACGGGCTACAGATAGCTAGAGCCAAAAAATAAATTGACTAACACTGTAGAGGCAAAAAATTACTATTTCTCACTGTCTCTCTCTTTTCCAATTCTACCCTTTTTCCCCCTCTCTTTCTCCCCCCTCTCCTCTTCCTTCCTCCCCTCCCCTGTTCCCCTGTTCCCCTGTCCACCCCACTCCCCAACCAGCCTCTCTGTTGAAGTTGTGGTACAGGGAGTTGGAGGAGCCGTTGATTCCTCATGAGTTCTATGAGGAATGTATCACTCACTATGATGACCCTGAGGCTGCAGTCAATGTTGTGATGGGCCTTCCTCACATCAACAAACTGGTGCTCTGCTACCTCATACGCTTTCTACAGGTAACACACACACACACCACACACACACATCATCTGCTCCAAACTCATCCTCTGTTCCAAATACACACTATCAACTTCACACATCACCCGCTTCCTCTAGGTATGAAATACACCCATCATCTCTCTCTCTCCCCAGGTGTTTGGCCAGCCTGTCAACGTGGTGATCACTAAGATGGATGTGAACAACCTGGCCATGGTGATGGCTCCTAACTGCCTGCGCTGCCAGTCAGATGACCCACGCGTCATCTTTGAGAACACACGCAAAGAGATGTCCTTCATCCGCGTGCTCATCCAGCGCCTCGACACCAGCTTCATGGACGGACTGCTATAGCCCCCCAAACCCTGCTCCTGTACCCAGGCCAACGACAAGGGACCCCCTCCCTGCTATAGCCCCCCACTTTAAACTACTCAACCTGAAACAACCACACGGGACGCCCCCCAACTTCGACTGTACCCCTAAATCCCCCAAGGCCCCACCTGCCCCCCAGACCCTGCTCTAGCCCCCCAACAATAACTGTACCCCCGACCAACTAGTTGGGACACCCCCCAACTCCAAACTACTGCCCCCTAAATCCTGCTATAACCCCCCAATTACAACTACTGCCCCCCAAACCATCCACACAGGACAGGATGACCCCCTACCTCCCCGACGGAGCCTCAACCCAGTCTGAGCCTGACCCCTGACCTCTGACCTCTGACCTCTAACCTCTACCCCCCACACTACACACAGGGACTTGCATCTCACACACACTGATGTACAGGGTTACACACACACTCACATAGACATACTCTCACATGTACATTTACACACACACACATACTCTCACTTGTACAGTACACATCCATACACACAATGGCAAAGTTTAGAGTGACAAATGGCTGACCAACACAGTACAAGATCGATGGGATCAACCTATATCTTTATTGAGATATACTCAGTCTACATTGTCATACATACACACAATGACGCACGCACACACACACAAAGCTGTTTAACTCCCTTCCCACCCAAACGGCTATCACGCTACGACATGTTTTGGTGCTGTCCCCTCCCCAGTCCCCGCCTCTCTCCCCATACCAATCACGTCTGCTTCCCCCTCTCCTGATTCGCTGTGAGTTCTAGAATGAGGGCGTCGGTCCACCTATCAGCTCCAAGCCCAGAGCTACAGTCAAACTGCCATGAAGCCCCGTCTGTCCGTCTGCACTGTTGTCACCAACCAACTGATGTCGATAAAGTTATTTATTTTGTTGTTTTGGACGGCGGGGTCGGTCCAGGGCAGGTTTTAGAGGGGATCACCGCAGCACTGCCAATCAACCGTGTCTGTCACAACAGGAAAGGATGTCAGACACCGTGCCACAGAACTTCCTGTGAGACTTTAGAACTACTGATTCACCCCCTACCACCCTACCACCCTACCACCCTACCACCCATCCCCATAGCCCCTTCTACCCCCTTCACCCCTCTGACCCCTTAGACAACCACACAGCCTCTACCCCTAGAGCCCCTCACCCCTCCTCACCCCTCCTCACCCCTCCTCACTCACCCCTCTTCACCCCTCATCACCCCGCTTCACCCCGCTTCACCCCTCATCACCCCGCTTCACTCCTCATCACCTACCCCCCAACACATCCTCGAGACTACATACACCTCCATACTCTCATACTGACATGATTTCTGAATGTCTGAATTGAGATCCGTCCACCTCTGTCTGTCTGTCTGTCTGTCTGTCTGTCTGTCTTATACTCTGTCTGTCTGTCTGTCTGTCTGTCTGTCTGTCTGTCTGTCTGTCTGTCTTATACTCTGTCTGTTGTTTACAAATGTACCTGTCTGTCTCCGTCTACAGGTAGTCAAAGTACTGTCTGTCTTTTGGACCCGTACAAAAGTATTTTTTCTATTAGCAGATGTGACTTGGTATGGATTATTATTTTTTAAGATATGTGTTTTTTGTTTTATTAATTGATGATTTGTTGTATTTAACAGAGTTTTAATGTTTTTTAACCCACTGTTTTATATAATTTAATTTATTTGTATTTATTTCAGCAAAATTTCCTTAATGCCTTCTTCTTAGACAGTATACTTTAGGGTTCAGAATGTCTGTGTGTGTCCCAAATGGCCCTCTATTCCCTTTATAGTACACTACTTTTTGTCAAAAGTAGTGTATTATATAGGGAATAGGGTGCCTTTTGGGATGCACTTTGTCTTTATGTTTCTTTGAATGAATGTGTGTGTACGTGCAGGCATGTATGTGCTTGTGTGTGTTTGTGTTTTCAATATAATAGGGCATATACATCACATGTTCATATGCACATACATGTTGATATGTGACTCTGAAGTGTACAGTAGGTGTCTTTGTGTGTCTGAGAGTTAAGGCCTGCTGTTTTTTAGTTCTGTTCATTTGTGTTGCATTTTTTGGTGACATGTTTATACGAATGGATGCTTGTGAACCTCCCATCCCTTAACACCACACACACACACACACACACACACACACACACACACACATCCTTCTTAGCCTAATTACCATTCTCGCAGAAGGACTCTCACGCTCTTACGTTCACGGAAGCTCTCATACACTGTGTGTGTGTGTGTGTGTGTGTGTGTGTGTGTGTGTGTACTTGAAGCTTTCACACAATCACATATTGCGTGTGTGTGTATTTGAATCTCTCATACACTCAGGTATTGTGTGTGTGTGTGTTTACTTGAAGCTTTCACGCAATCACATATTGTGTGTGTGTGTGTGTATTTGGCGCTCTCACACACTAAAATATTGCGTGTGTATTTGTGGTAGAATTATATTTTATATGTTAAATTGGGTGTATATGACAATAAAAAACATCTCAATCTAAAGAGATAAAGTGGATCAGTGAAGGAGAGAGAGAGGAGAGATAGGGTTGTTATGTTTCCTCTGTCACCTTAACCCACTGTATCCTTATATACACACACACACACACACACACACACACACACACTACACAAGAACATGACCAACGTGTACATTGACCCACTGTACAGACCAACCTGTAAAATACAACAAGATTACCATAACAACACAAGTAAATAAAGCATCACACATACAGTACGTAACTATGGAAACAGCTGTGGAAATAATTGTAACAACAGGGTGTTGTTGTTTTTTGTTTTCCCCTTTTGTTTGTATTATTATGTTCTATGTGTGTGAGCCAGACAATGATGGTAAAGTTTTTCGATAGAGGTCTCTTTCTCCACCTGTGAATCGGCCTTCTTAGTGTTTCTCTAAAGAACATTTAAACAACAGAAATGTGTACCATCATCAACTCTTCTTATGATCAAATGTGCATCCCAAATGGCACCCTATTCCTTATATATTGCACTACTTTTGACATAACGCTGGTGGGCCCTGGTCAAAAGTAGTACATTATATAGGGAACAGGGTGCCATTTGGGACGCACACAAAGTGTTTCCTTACCAAGACAACTGCAACACTTCTGGCCGCTGATACGTTTAGCTCTGGTGAGTTGTTTCCCATGCTGAGATGCTATAGAAAGATAAGATACCATAGACAGGATGATGGTGTAACTAGTTGTGTGTGTGTGTGTGTGTGTGTGTGTGTGTGTGTGTGTGTGTGTGTGTGTGTGTGTGTGTGTGTGTGTGTGTGTGTGTGTGTGTGTGTGTGTGTGTGTGTGTGTGTGTGTGTAAGGGGTGGCAGTAGATAGAATAGAATGCAGTGATGTCATGCATTGACCCAGCAAATCGACCAATCAGCATGCAGAACTTTGGGTCACCACTCTTTTAAAAACATAAAGTTACTAAAAAAATGAAACATGAAAGAATATACATGAAATACTTACAGAAAGGATTTACAATATTTACCTTTAAAAAAGTTTCCACTTATAAGAGATATGATTTGAAATCTCTTAGATATCTTTGTTTTCGATGATTACTGTTGGTTCTCATTTTTTATTTGTTGCTACACATGTTCTTCTTATAGTCAGTGTCCATACTGTTATTATAATTATTAATGTAATTAATATGACTGATATTGAACATAAGTAAGGTGGGAATCAGCTGCTATGTACTCTGTACTCCTCACCTCCTCTTCTTCTTCCTCCTCTTCCTCCTCCTCAACATTTTCTTTTCTCTTTTAACGTCAACTGTCTGTCAATCACACTCTGTTGGAGAGAAGACTTGGGAAGTAAAATGGACATTGTTTAATAAACTATTCAAATGTGAAATATGCCTGGTTTGTGTGACACTTTCATTAACTAACACAGTGACAGTCCATGATTTTCATAGCTGTCTCCCATTGCAATCTACCAATGCACCATTTATAATTTTGTCTAGGGGTTGCAAAATTCTGATAATTTTCTTAGGTTTTTCAGAAATTCTGTTTGGGGGATTTTGGATTTCCTGCCTATTCCCTTTGATTCCGGGAATCTTGCTACCAGCATTTCAGGAAATCTGGAAAGGTTAAAGGGGCAGTGTAGTTAAAAACTTAATTTCCTAATCTTAAAATTTGTTCCCTAACTCCCACACGATGAGACTGAGCATTTCAAGGGCCAAATGAGGCTCAGGAAAATATTTTGGAGTTATTTTCATTAAATAAACACATACTGATTTATGAGACATATTTTGATGTTTTGTTGTTGTTTTTTTACAAAGACTGCACAGGGGCTTTAACAGAATTTTGCCACCCTAATCCTGAGTAAGGTCCTCTAGTGCAGACTGGTCTGGATCATAGAGGATTATAAGACTGGTGGTCCAGGTGGTAATTGTGATAAATATCCCTTTCCACTTGTAATCTGGTAATCTGGCCAGTTCTTTTGTCATTTGTATTTATTTATTTATTACGTTTATTTGGCAGGGACAATGTACATCAAAAACAAGTCTCAGAGCACTGAGAAAACATGTGTTGTACCAGATTTAGCTAATAGCTAATTTCCATCTAGTCCCTAAAACATCTAGACATACAGTACATTCGGAAAGTATTCAGACCGCTTGACTTTTTCCACATTTTGTTACGTTACAGCCTTATTCTAAAATTGATTAAAACAAAAAAAATCATCAATCTACACACAATACCCCATAATGCCAAAGCAAAAACAGATTTAATTTTTTTGTTGCAAATTTCTTAAAATGTAAAACTGAAATACCTTATTTACATAAGTATTCAGACCCTTTGCTATGAGACTCGAAATTGAGCTCAGGTGCATCCTGTTTCCACTGATCATCCTTGAGATGTTTCTACAACTTGATTGGAGTCCACCTGTGGTAAATTCAATTGATTGGACATTATTTGGAAAGGCACACACCTGTCTATATAAGGTCCCACAGTTGACAGTGCATGTCAGAGC